CTAAACCATTAGGAAAGCACAGGGATTTTAAAATTGTTTTTTGCTGATCCCACTAGAATTATTTTAGGAGAGACAAAAAAGAAAATAATAGAAATTACCGTTGCCAGGTTACTCAGTTCCAAAGAGAAAACGGAGAAATAATGCCGTGTCTCAGTTTAAATGAATTCAGGTCGAGTCACCATGACAGCAGTCTCTCAGCAAACATGCTGGCACCTTTGACTTTTGAAATGTCAATATAGATTCTAGAACCCTAGACCTGGGAGGACTGTTAGAGATAATTTGCTCTTTCCTAGAGACAGAATGACATTTAAACCATCCCAAATAGCTCAGAGTCTTCTAATTTCTGAAGACCATTGGAGAAGAAAATGTTATCCACACTAATCCCTAGACTGATGTATTTTCTATTTGTAGATAAGAACTCCTTTCTCAGTTAAAATTTGTCAGTCTTAAGTAAATTCTTTTTTTTTTTTTTGCAAACTGGAAGACAATTTTATTAAACCTTATATAGATCCGTAAATTGTAAATTTACATGTATGCAAATTGCAGTATGTCTTTCCACAAATCACATTAACTAATCTTCATTCATTCTAAATGTTAGAAACACCAGAGAAAATATGACAATGATCAGTGGCGCTGTGTCATAGGGTCTCTATGGAGTCATACTTGACACTATGAATTGGAGATTTGCTGTCCTTGTGTCCTTTCCTATTAAGCTTTTCTTGCTAATATTTCTTTGATTTCCATTTGATATGGGCACGGATATTAAACATCAAAAGAACTCCTGATAGCATCCTAAGAGAGACATAACTTTCCTCCCCATGATGCACCACTCAGCCTTGCTTGTAACAACTTTTCAGGGACAGTGGGAGGGTTTGGACCGCGCTAGTGCCTTGCAGTCCACATGCAGAGGCTGGGGCATCTGGCCAAGGTGCTCAATGCAGGTCTCGAGGCTTAGTTCTTCTTGTTTTTCTTCAGGTAGCGTGCCCGGGTCGATTTGCCAACAAACATGGTTAATTTATAGTAAAGCCAGGAAGGCAGACAGGACATTACTGAGGCCATGATAGAATGGATCAGGTAACCACTGGTTCGGGACTGCAGGCCTATTGTTTTCATTGCAGACTTCACAAATGTCTCTGAAGAAGGCTTGTCCAAAGTTGCCTTTCGGATTTTAGCCAGCTTTGTAGCCACGAAGTATGGCAAGACACTCTGCACGAAGATGCCCTTGTGTCTGTACTCCTCGTGGAGGCACTGGGAGAAGAAGTCCACAAACGTCTTGGTTGCAGAGTTAAGTAAATTATTTTAAAACACTCTCTTCTACAAGCTAATTTCCTCTTCTTTGATTTCTATGGAACTAGAAAACAGATGATCATCATGGAGCCTTTTATCATTGGGAAGTTGTTAATTTCCTTTTCCTAAACTGATTTCTCTTGAGGCCAACTAATGAGTTTTATTTCTTAAGTTTTGTTTTGCTTTACACATTTGTTTTCTCTCTACTCAATTTTTTTTAATGAAGCCCAGAGCTGGACAGTTCCTCTCCACATTGCAAGCACGCTGTGTAAGCCACTTCCAGTGCAGGTGTACACCCTTTGCTGCAGTGTAATGCTGATTGCTTTCTGCACAATCTTTTCTACAATCTCTTATTAAATGTACCTTTTACTTAGTGGTACGTATTTGTCATCTATTTTTTCCAGTTAATTGAAAAGCAATCATTTTTGAACTCTTACACCTCATACATACTAGAGACTGTGTTAAGTCTTCCACATGCATTATTTAATCCACATAACCCATTTTTTTAAACGAAGAAACTGAGGCTTAGAAGATGAAAGAATTAATTTAAGACCATATCTGTAGAAGGCGATAGAGCAGGAATCTGAATCTTGGCAGTTTACCTCCAGTAACCACACTTTTAACTTACCTATATAATTTTTAGGTCATATTATCTGCAAAGTGCCTCTCAAATGTATTGATAAAGCTGTAGAACATCATAAAACAAGCTGAAAAAAGACTGGGTCATAGTTGCCAGATGCAGCCATTAAAATCCAGGACATTCAGTTTAATTTGAACTATGTATAAATACAAGAATATCTCATATTTTATCTGGTAACTCTTGAATGTTCAGGTGGTTTTTTTCAGAGTGGGCACTGGGTCCGCTCCACTGAATTGATATAAAAATGAACTCTGAAGCAACTGAGAGGATCTCTGCCCTTTGGGGCAGAATTGAAGAGGTGTACCAATTCTGTAACATGAAAAATGTCTGTAGCATCTACCACGAATGATGTATGTTCAAAAATTAGATGCTCACCATTTCTGTGTTGACAGTGTGGATGGATTTTCACCTGAATATAAAGTCACTCAATATTTGCTATGACTAAATTTCAATTTAGTAAAAAAGTAAACACAAAAACCATATTTTATTTAGCAAAACTGTAAATTAAATGAAGATATAAATTCACATGAGACCTTTAGTGCTGTTCAAAACAATTCCTCCAGCTATCAATTCAAGGCAATCACGCCAGCAGTATTATTCATAGGCTGATTAATAAAACAACAATTATTTCCTAGTTACAAGGGCAGTCACTAAGTCTTCAGGACTCTTAGAAGTAGACTGGGTTTGACTATTCAATTACCAGCCTACACAAAAGCAGAAATAAAAGGGAAGAGCAATACAAACAAACAGGACTGGCTGTTACTTCTTCATAAGAAAACAACAGAGTGGCAAGGCCTCTCTTCAGTACTGGAGAGAACTGAAGTAGTAGTGGGTAAGTTTATAGACACAGAAAAGCTGCTAACCAAGATACCGTGGATCCAACTAAGATGTAAACGCATAAATCAAGTTGGTATATGTGCTCAACTTACTTTTGTTTTTACTCTCTATAAATGGTAAAGTTCTCAGTATTGAAAGATACACTCACTTACTTTAGTCATATAAAAATTATTAATAAACTTTGGCTTCCTTGCAAACATTCTGCCTTCATATTACAAAAAAAAAATGATTAAAACCAGTAAGGATCATGAATTACTTCTGCAAAGTTTAATAAGTGAGAAACATTCAACCAAGGTGACCTTTTCCTTGGAAAAATCCTACAAAATCTGAATTTTATAAACAGTTACTTATTTTGATAGAAGTTCCATTTATAAATAGCAGCCATGACTTTATTGCCTACAAAACTGCAGGCTGTCACAGTTTACAAGTTTAGAGTGAAAATGTTTTAAGATCAGATTTTCTAGTAATTGTCAAAAACAAAACAAAACAAAACTCTACACTCAACAGAAAGATGAGTTAATTGCCCCATGCTAAGAAAACAATTACATTCCATGATTTGACTTTTCAGGCAGGTACAATCATTGGGTTTAAGACAATGGATACAACATTTATATTTTTTGTTTGAAAGAGAAACAGTAACACCTAAGAGGGTGGGGTAACTGCAGCAGGAGAGTTTGTTCTACTGAGGTTCTTTGTGGTCAAAGTGTATCTACTGCAAAGGATAAAATAGTGCAGATGTTAGTACTAGCAAGACCTTCAAGTTAAGAATCTGAGAAAAACTAATTGCTAAGAAAGGATTGGCTATCTCTCCTCCTGATTCTACTGTAGTGCAAATAGTTTTTTCTGAGGCCCAAGAAACAAGAGGATCAGGGTGAAAAGCAGAAAAATATGTAAATCAGAGGTGCTAGACCTTCTATCTTAATCTTAATAAGTGACAAACAGCATTGAAATGGTAAGAAATTAGTTCTCTCTTACTATAACACTCTATACCTCTATCTTAGGAGCAAGAACTCCTCTCTTCTGTCTCTTCCACAAGAACTCCTGACCACATCAGGAACATTTGGATTGCTGTATACTCAGTGACCACGGACAGTGGTTTCAGAATTCCCAGGAATTAGAACTGAGGAGGACAATATTTGCAGTAAGAGGAGTTAACAGTCTGTGTACCTTTTTAGGTTGCTGGATGATCCCCAAATTCCTGTAAAACTCAGTACTACTTAGGAGGAAGCTCCCCTGAGTTCTGGCTTGAGAAGAGGTCAACCCATAAACCAGAAATCTGGGCATGGGACCAATGCTGCTAGAAAACATTGTTCTCCTTACTCACCTTGGGGAGAAGGGTCTAGAGGAAGTTTCAAAGGGTAGCTAATATCAAGGCAAAGTAATAAAACCAGGGTTGGTATTGGACAGTACTGATATGCTTGTACATTAACTCTAAATAATTGTCCTCCCTGTAACAATGCAGTACATAACTCAAGAGTAAGCATGGCTTCTTCCTTCAGCACACATTTTAAGAAGTTTTAACTTTTCTTTCATATTCACACTCCCTTACCCTGATTCTCCCAAGTAGTAAGGGGAAAAATATACATTTTAATAATAATTTTGATGTTGCCTCTCCAACTGAGGGACTTGGGCATAAACTTAGACTGGCATTCACATAGCTGCCCCTAAAGATTTTACAACCAGACTGACATCCATGTGGCATTTTAAGCCCTAGAGTAAAAACATACATCACTCAGAGAAAGGGTCCCCTTTCATCATTATATCAGACTAATCTAAACCCCAGCAGGAGACCTAGGCAAAAGAACTAGGAAATCTCTCCGATTGTCCTTCTTTCTCTACTATATATACTTGTCAATGCAGATTATCTATAATAAAAAGACGTTGATCCCAAGGTACACTGTTTGCCAAACCGGTATGGCTAACAGATATTATGATACTTTTTTAGCAGCTATTACGATACTTTAGTTTTTGTTCCTGTCTCCTTGATGTTGACTGGAAGCACAAGTAGACCGAGAGGGAAAAACCAAGCACAGAACAGGGAAAAGGTTCCAGAAAGAATTGTGTGGTGGTGGCTGCTCAAACACTGACTCTGGAAACGTAGTCAGAAACCACCATAATCTTTAAGCCCTATGGCAAGAAGGGTAGTGTGTAGAAAACCTTGCAAAACCTAGCACCAGCTCTTCCTGATGAGAGCACAGCTCTGAAATAACTCATACAAGTACAGACAAAACAAAAACCAAAAAAGTCAAGCATTCGCTGCAGTTGTTTCTCCACAGCTCCACTAGCAAACTAACAAGCACATATTTTCTCAGTTGCTGAGTCTCTCCCACAGATACCTCTCACTTTGGAGGCAGGGATGAGAAAACTGGACTACATTTTCCCATAAAAGGGAAATCATATCACCTGGAAGCAATATCTGACAAGTTCCCCACTTCTTAATGACAGCATCCCTAAGTCAGTCAGTTTTGAAGGATCAAAATTAATGCCTGGAAATCAGAGATTATACCTATGGTTTATAAATCTTACGAGAAGCAACCTACTCACCTGAATAAAATCCCAAATCATCAATTCCCTGCCCCCCCTCCTCCCTTTTACCAGGAAGGAGTTGATTTGAGTCCTTTTTTTCTTTTTCACCAAAACACTTTGAAGAGAGTCAAAGAAGGTAGTTTAGGAGGGAGGGGGCATTTTGGTTCATCATAAAAAAAAATAAAGGTTTCTTCAAGTGTCATCTGAGGCTGTATATAAACATTTTCAGTTTCCCTCAGTGGCTGCCTCCAAGGGCTCTTCTTGTAAGTCAAAACTCAGCTTGTCAGCTAGTCCCTCAAACTGCTTGCCCAGGTTGCCTGCAGAGTCCACAAACATGTTGGGGATGTCTTTGCCAAAGTAAATCTTGCTGTTGGAAGCAATTGCCTTGTACTTCATCAGCTGCAGATATTCAGGGGTCAGCTTCAGCTGTTTTGATTTTTTTTTTATAAAAAAAGAAAGGTAAAGATAACTTAGATTTGAGCAGACTCTGAGTAGTACCCTTTCAATATTCACATGGAGAAAGGCTCTGTCACAGAAATATGCCCCTGTCTACTTTTCCTAATCTTACTGCTAACATTAGTAACAGCATAACTCTCTAAGAGACTGTAATGTCAGATCTTTAAGGCTGCGGTTGCCAAGTTTCAGAAGTTTCTATGTTTACTACAAAAATTTAACTTCTATCAAGGCACTACTAAGGAAAAGGGATTCTATCTGTCCTACCCTGCACAGCAGTCATCAGTTCTGGCCATAGTGAGGCTCTGGGTGGTGGCGGCCATCTGGCCTTGTGTACTCTCAAGTAATATAAACCAGGGCTTAGAACCAGTCTGGACTGGTTCAGTCATGGTCAAAGAAGCAAAAGCAGAACAGACATGAATTTTTAAAATTAGGTGATCTTGAATGCTAAGCATACTGGAAAAAATTATGGGTTAAAGCTCTGGAATAAGAGACCTAAAGAAGGTGGCATAGAGCCCTTTTAGGAGACTTATGCGTCATGTTGGATCATGGAGTGCGGAGAGCCATACACACTCAAAGTTCAAAGCGGCGAGGTAGCCCACCATCTTTGAGCTGGGCATTGGTGTTTTTAACTCAACCAGGTAAGAAATTGGATTGTTATGCTGTATGCTGTTTTTTCTAAGAGGGAGATTATATTTGTAGCACAGCTTCAACCCACTTTTTCTTGTTCCAGTTAGTATTCAAATTCACCCACACTCTAAAAATTTGGGTCTGTTTTGGTATCACTTCATTGGCCATTACTGAACTTGGGCTTAGTTAGTTTGAAGCCCTGATAAAACCTGGAACCCACCTTCTTGCTAATAGGCTTGACTTGGCCTTTACCTTATTTGCTTCAGCTATTTTCATAGCAGTGTAACACTCAGCATCAGCCTTTGCCTTCTCCCGGGCCAGGAATGCAGCATCTGAGTAGGGGAAGAAATACAAGGAACTGGATGAAATGCAACACAAGAGTGGTTTGCTGAGTGCAGATGCTCCGAGATGCCCTGTGCTCTGGTCCCTGGAAGTTGCCCCCTGCCTGCCTTTGTGGCTTTGAGAAGGCTGCTCCCTGTTTCTCTCTGTCTCTGTGCTTTGGTTTCCTTACTGATGCAATTAGGGCAAAAACATTTATTTCTATTCTGCAAAGTGTTGTAAGGATCATCCAAGATGAAAAAAGTGCTTTGAAAGCATCTTCCCATGCTGTAGACTAGTTATTAGCAAGTCCGTTACTGAGTCTCAAAACAAAAACTTTGACAGCATTGAGGGCTACCTGTTTCCATGGGTTTACTTCTTTATAGAACAGCTTTGGAAAGCAAAAAGGAAGGGCCCTATCATAATCTCCAGTGCCTGAACTTACCACCTCTCATGTCTCTCACGTTTTATCACCACAGTAAGAAAGGCCCAACGAGGGCTCCAAATATGGGCCAAGGCAGATTCACCCTAAACCAGTATCAGGAGCTACAAAATAAGATACCATATATAGTTCAGTCCTGCTCTGTCTCCTCATTTTTATTAATCATTTTAAAAAACTCCTACTTGGCACTACTTAGGCTGGTAAAACTCTCACAGAGAAATATATGCCATGGTCTAAAATCTTAAAGTCTTTCTAAACTTCCACCATGCAAAGAAAGTATACCCAAAACCTGTTCTTGGGCTCATTTTCCGTCAAAGAGAAATAACATCTGTGATATTTCCTTCCATGCCTTGGGAATGTGGCCAGTTTCAATATCTGTAGCAAAAATCCTGGGAAGAAGGATCAGTCTGTGGGTGGGTTCTTACGGCATGCCCTGAGAATGGTCCTGGCTGGAAGGAGACTAAGTGTGGGGAGTCTGGATGGGATCCTGGCTATCATGTAACTGACTCAGTTGGCCTTAATACCTGGTGACATGTACATATATAAAAGTGTTGTTCAGCTAAGATCTCTCTAATGAGGAGCTAATGATTTGTGAAGTCCTAACTGACTTGTCAACAGGTTCTTGTGAGGCTGGGCATTTAATGTATCTCTCTCTCTCTCTCTCTCTCTCTCTCTCTCTCTCACACACACACACACACACGGTGTCTCTCCAGGAAATATATTTACTCCTCATTTATCAACAGTCAGGGGCTAAACCCCATCTTTGTGCTGGTGTCTCCTGGTGTTCTCCCTCCACCCTTCCCCTGCACCCTCATCCCTCACCCCATGGTGAGTCTCAGGATATACATGATATAGCAGAGCCGGTTGGACTTGAGAGTAGTGGTGGTCGAGTGGTTACTTACCACCTGCCCTTGCGGGGACCCTGCTTGCCCTCCACCTGCTGTAGCCCTGCATGAGACCTTGCCCTTTCCCCCTTTCTGCCTCCTCACTACACAGACCTCCCTGGCAATTTCAGGCCCTGATCCAGCCTCCCACCCATCCACCTTGTGTCATACTCTTGGACCCTTGCCCTCTGTGCCTGAGCAAGATGAGTGGAAAAAGGAATCCTGTGGCTGACTGGCCATCATCCCCTGTGTGGCATGGCCATCAGTATGGCACCCAGCTTATCAGTTTGGTGGCCTACAGAGGGACTGACTGCAGGCCTGTATGTGGCCTCCACATAATACTGGAGGTGCCACCAGAGAGGTTTTTCAAAGCTGTAATCTGAATTGTCACATAATGAGACAGTAAGTGAAAAGTAGGCATAATACTAGGATATAACATTTTTCAGATTGGAGCAGGGTCTTACAGTCTGAATTTTGTCTTGGAAATTACTTGACACAGACACCACATAAAGTGAAGAGTGGGTAGTGGGGCTGAGGTGAAAAATTAGGGGCAAGGCGTAGAGAATGAAAGGTATTTAAAAAAAAGCCATCAAGGAAAACGTTTCTTTCCAGTTCCATTGTTGCTGATGCTGAAAGGTGTCCACGTCAAACCATCTACATGATCTTAAGACTGAAAAGTTAGCAACAGGGCGTCTAAAGCGGTGGATGCACAAGGAAGAGCATTGCCGCTGAGGCCCGCTCCTCAGCTTACTTCTAAAGAGCTGATGCCTTGGCTGGACTGTGACCATCAAGAAAGCAGAGACCAGATGAGCTTCCACTTTCTTACACCTGCCAAAGCCCTGGATATAATGGCGCACAACTACCATCTGTTGAATGAATCCTCTTTAAAGTGGAAAAATGACACTAAGTGGGCCAAATTTTTTTTTCTGAATTCAAGTTTAAGCAGAAAGAAAGGTGATGCTCCTAAGAAACCCCAACATTCCAGACAGATCTGAAAGAGCAAAGAAAATTACTCTCTCTCTCAATTTCCCCAAAATGGGCTAGAGAAAAACAAAGGCATGAATTTTACTTTCACTTACCTTCAATTTCGGAAATCTTCTTCTCAGTCTCCTTCTCCATCACCTTCTGTCCATAAGTGATTTCTGCAACTTGAGCTACTTTTTCTGCCTCTGTAGTAATGAGAAAAGACTTAGAGCCCTGCTATTTTCAAAGTTGGACTCAATTTACCTTTCACTTGATCTAAGAGAAAGTGGGTAAGCTCAGATGGAGCCGCTGCCCTCAGAGAGTAGCTGTGACAGCATACATGGCCAGAAATGGAATATACCATACACACAGAACCACACCACAAAACAGAAAGCCAGGATACCCGGGCCTTGGGGAGGAGAGTCATTCAACTTCTGAGGAAGATAAGGGGTAAGCCCTCACCTCTGTACTAGCCACAAGTCAGGGGAGTTCTCGCAAAGGAATACTGTAAGACACAGTGTATTCTCTAATACGTTTCTGAGGGACAGACTGACAGTGACTTTAACAATGGGCTTGGGCATGGCAGGGAGTGTGAGGATGGTGCAGGGCAAGGTTCTGATCTGTTGTCCACAGGGTTGCTGAAGTGTAGTTGTGACTCAACAACAGCTAAGAGCAGCAGCAGCAGCAGCAGCAGCAATAAGCTCCTGGGAGTTGTTCATTATTATAAATTAAGGATCAATAAGATTCCTTTCATTGAAGAAATATGTAGAAGCTCAGAACTCAGTACCCCTAGTTATGCTCTGACAATGTCAACTTTGCTTCTTTTATTTTTTTTTTCAACTTTGCTTCTTGAAGTATGAAGACAGCCTCTCCTGTGATGTGGAAGAAAGTTTTGGGGGACTTTGTGTTCTAAGAGTGCATGAGCCTTGTTTACAACTACCCATCATCCCTAGTCCTTCTGCCCTCAGCATAGAAGCACGTTCAGACCAATAAGTGCCTTCTTCCGCTCTGTCTCGGCTTCCTTCTCCACCACCTTCTGTTTCTGGGCTGCAATAAGCAGCTTTGTCTTCTCGCTTTCCCTGAGAAAAAGAAAGTGTGCAGCTGTGAGGATTCTATGTAAAAGCTCCAAAGGCACCTCACTGTTCCCTGGAGAAATCAAACCCATCTGTGGAAGAATGGCAATCTACAATTTCTTATTCTCTACTGGAAGACTGTTCAATGTCCCAGGCAAAAGTTGATCTGTTGTAGACATTAACAAGGTTTTCCCTCATCCCAAAAGAGCTCATTTGTGGAAAATAAAACATAATTTACTTTAGTAAAATATTCCAGCCTGTCCACTTAATCCTCTTTGCAACCATCTCCTCCTTTGGCATGAGCCATTAAACAGAAACAAGGCCCTGTGGCCCTTTTTAAAGCTTCAGTGCTCTAAGGGGCTTCTCTTGTGGTTCTCAGTCACAGTTAAGGAACCCAGGTGATTGGCCTGACGTGTCTGCTCTATTTTACAGGGCAATAGGCCGGAACATATCCTCGAGAAGGGACTCTAAGCCTGGCACAGCTTCTGTTAATTCTGGGATGGATGAAGTGGGAGATGTGAGCAAGTGGTGGCGATACCTGAAGAATTGAGAATACTCACATCAACTCGTAGTTTCTGCGAATTGCTTCAGGTATATTGGGCTTTGTTACCCTCACAGCCTGGAGAAAGACAAAACCAACAACGGTGAGAAGATAAGTTGGTAAGTAGCTCCCACTGATCCCTGACTTTCATGCACAGAAAAAGGCATCTGTTGAGAGAGAGGCTGCAACTTCAGAAGAAAGAAGTATATCCGTAACCATAGTCATGTCTGTCTGGCAGATATTTCTACCTTTATGTTTTATATGCTGTAAATCTACTTAAACACACTATTGTCAAGTTGGTTCTGAATCACAGGGACCCTCCGCCTTGTTTCCAAGTCTATACATTTTCACAGGATGAGACTGCCCACCTGTCTCCCTTAGAGCTTCTGGGATTAAAATTGTGGGCTATCTTGGTTAGTCACACAACACACTAAGGACTATACCACCAGAACTCCCCCAAGAGCTCCCCGGTTCATGTAACTATATCTATGTACTTAGCATAGCCAACAGGGGGCTATGTTACATAAACTCTTTAATCATAGCCAAAGGCTGTGAGGAAATGAGTTGCTGGTCCTTGAAACATGGGGACATTAAGGTCAATTGGCAAAGCACAACCTACAAAGACAATGCTCTACATTCTACTTTGGTGAGTGGTGACTAGGGACTAGGGTCTTCCAGGCTTGTGAACAGTCATCTAAGGCGTAATTATTGGTTTTTCCATGTCTGGAACAAAAATGGAAGAAAGCAAAGATATATAGGACCAATTAGTCCAAAGGAGAATTGGACCACTCGACCCTCAGCCTTCATGACCCTGAGGTCAGAACTGGATGGTGCCCAGTCATCACTGCTGAGCACTCAAAAAAGGATCACAGTGGAGGGCCTGGGGAAAGTGGTCAAAAATGTGGAACAAAATGAAAAAACATAAAAATGGCTGGGTTTATTATGGGTCTGACAGAGACTGATGGAACCCCCAAGACTATCGCACTTAGTCACCCTTTGAACAGGTAATAGAACTCACTCCTGTAGCTCAACTTTCATCCAAACAAAAGAGAGGGTTACATGGTGAGTAACACCAGACAGGCACCCCGACTCCTTAGTATAATCCATCACACATATTATTCAAAAGAGTGGTGTTTTTCCCAAGAATAAAGTTCAGGAGGTAGACGGGGACAGGGTGGATAGATGGAAATGAGAACCACAAGGAAAAAGAGGGAAGAGTGCAGTTACACTGTGACTACTGGAATATTGTAATTTGCTTTGTCAATTGTTACTCAAATAAAAATGAAAAGGGTTGGGGATTCAATTTCATCAGACGATGATCCAAAGGGGGCAATCTTACTTGGATGACAAGCCCAGGAGCCATGGAGGTTAGGTCCTGTTGCAAAGCCAGTTTGAGGTTTTCATCAATCTGGTCTGGAATCAAGAAGGAGACAGGTAAATTAGTTACACTTTCTAGACAGAATGGAGGGAAGCATGATGGCAAAGCACAAGCTAAAACACCAGTTCACGAAGACCTACAGGTAAAAGGTCTTCCCAAGGTAGTGTGCTTACCAAAGACCAGGAAGTCATAAATGGCTTAGCAAGGCTAAGCAGTCTTTCTGTATGTAAGTTAGATGTAATATCCTTTTTTTTTGATCTTAAGATAAAATCACCCCTGTCTAACCCAGGCTAATATCAATCTTGCTCTATATGGGAAATGAGCTTAAAAAAAAAAGAACAAACGCTTCTAGTACATTTCCAGAGGGAAGCAGCAGCTTCTCTCCAGACGACAGCAGCCAAAGAGAAGGAAAGCTGACAGTTTTCATAGAAGGTAGAATAGCTATGCTAGGTATTTTGTAAAAGCTGAGCACATTAAATCTAGTAATTTTAGAAGCTTCTAAAAGAAAAACAGACTCTGATGTTGAGAGCCTCAAGGAAGATTGTTTCCATTAGGAACTCCATCAAGCAACACAAGGAGAAAATTAAATTTACAGCTCTGGAAGCAAGCCCAACTCTTTTGATGTGTTATTTGTTTTGGTCCTGATTTCTTTGCCTGGAATTCACATGCAGGTTGTTTCAGACAAGTGTAGGGACAGCTGAGCTGGTTGTCCTTCTGCCTCTAACTGTGATCCTGCAGCACAGATTCCAAGCTGCCTTCTTTGGCCTGGTCCTTCTCAGTCATTTTATAGCTTCCGTCCCTGCTCAAAAGATCCTTAATTATATTCCAGAAGGAGATGGAGAAAGGCTCAGTGCAACTAAGCAGGGATTTCGAAATGGAATCACCTCTCTTCTTGTCAGCTGCCATCAAATTTAAGTGGTGATTACATCCAAATAGGAGCCTCTGATGAACAGCAACTTCATCCTTTAATAGATGCCAAAACCGAGGTTCTCAGAGGTTGAGTGATGTGCTCAATTTCACTAAGTTAAACAATGAACTTATTTCATTATTATCCTTTGATTGTCAGGATTTTTAAACAGTACTTTTCTTCAAAAGGAGCTCTGGTAGGATAGACTGTAGGGAGTTGTGCTGTCAGGCATCACTCTGGTGGTTTGAACCTACCAGCAGCTCCTCACGAGAAACAAAGGCAATCTCTTCCTTTGTGGTTTACAGCTTCAGAAACCCAAGGACAGTCAGCTATCAGTCAATCCTGACTCAGTGGCAATGAATTTAGAGTTACTTTCTTCAGCCATCATTTCAATAAGCAAGGGCTTCTAATCTTCTACAGACTGGACTCTGATTACTTCCCCAACTCTTAAACACAATGCAAAAGGCTCCTTACATAAGCTCACTGGTGATGTCAATGAGTCCTTCTTTTATTTTTTATCAAAAGTACTGTTTTCTGAGTAATTTTTATGATTCTTGAGAAACATCATCATCATCCAGTCCTAATAAAGAAGACTAGGACAGCTTCCTAGTCTGCTTTGAGCCTGGACTCTCCTCTGAAAAATGAGCACCCTTAATGATCCTGCTGGTATGTGAAATACTGGTGGCACAGCTTTCAGTATCACAGCTACAAGCAAGCCACCATAGTACAACTAAGTGGCCGAGCAGTGGTGGAAAATCCCTACTAGCAACTTGAAACAGAACAATTTAATACATAGGAGCTGAGAGTTACTGATGTATTTCCTTAAGGTGCTGAATCAAAGGTGCATATATTTTGACAAAATACATCTTAAGCTGGGGATCCTTTTTACTTCTAACATTTCCTATTTATCCTACAGAACAATGATGGTAGTAAAAAAATAGAATCATTAAAGTTATGGTTCTCGTCTCAGTTTGGGGATTAAACGTAACCCACAGCAATACCATCAATCATCTCTGGGTGTTCTTAATTCAGCATGTTGCGGCGCAAAGAATAATGAAGAGAGAGCCAGGAAAGAGAAAGTCTAGTGTTAGCTCTGCTATCAACTAGCTATGTGAATCAGGAAAATCATCCTTTCTCTTAGTGCCTACAATAGCTTATCGTAAAATGAGGATGTTGGGCTGGATAATCCCTAAGGTTCTTTGAAAGCTAATCTTCATTACAGAATGATATTTAGAAACTGTGGGAACACATTTCCACCCAGTCCTGATTCCAGCAGAGGCAAGTACTCTATTCTACTGTCATCCCAGTACCCAAAGCTCAATTACTCTAATGCATCTTCTTCTAAGGTCATTAACATTTTCTAGGCATTTCCTTTGTGACCAGTGCCTGGGCACAGGATCTCTGTTCATAAGTAACCACACTCCAACGATGCTCCTAACCTACAGCAGAAATAAACAGGAGGATTAGGGCTACAAAGCATAGCATGGGCAGAAAAAACTTTCTTACCAAACAACTCGATGTAGACCTCCTGAAGTGTATGTACGCTGCAGAACTGGTTCAGCTCGTGGTGAATCTTATTGAAGATGAGGGCCTTGTCATAGTCAGCAGTGTAGTTCTTCACTATATCGTACACTGTGCAAGGAAGGAAGACTTCAGAGCAAGTCTCAAAACAAAAGGCAAGACTCAAAACTTTCCTGGACAGAGCAGTTTAGTCTTGAGGGGTGCTGTGACAGACAGACGGGCATGCTACACAAAGTAAGAAGAAGGATGACAAACTGTGACAATTTACCTGCATTTGGGACCAGGAAGTTTACCACCTCAATTCTGTCAAAGTAGATCATCACACCACCACTATTGGACAGAGAATGGACAACGAAAAAGTTACGAATAGGCTCTGGACTATAGTGAAGTTTCCTAAGATAAAGGCATCAGATGTGTGACTTGGCAGAAAAGGAGATGAGTTCATGGGAGGTTAGAAGGCAACTCAAATTTCCAAGTAAGAGCTATTCAGAGCTCATATGGAGAAAAGGACCTCTGGAGAAATCAGAACTGAAAATATCTCCAGGAAGAAAAAAGTGATTATTTGTGGTGTGCCAATTAGAAGAGAAATATATTGTTTAATAACCAATGCCTTTTCATCGAAAACTACTGCAAGAGGAGAACAAAAACCAAAACTGTAGAAGACCAAGTATTTGTCCAAACTTAAAGCCACTGTGTAATTTCACAGTCAATGTTTTTCACTTTGTTCTTGTTTTTGGTTTTTGTGTGAGTGTACCGTCAAATCAGATCTGAGTGGTACAGGAGGAAATTGTCCCAGGAGGAAATTGTCCCTCCTTCCCCGGCAGAGCAACTGGTGGATTTGAACCATGCGCCTCTGGGATTGTAGTTGCAGGTCCTTGCCACTAGGCCACCAGATCTCCCCTTTTCACTTTGTTCTTAATACCATACATTCAACCAAGCTTTCACTACACACACATACACACACACAAAGTCTATATAAAAGTTTAATAATAGCAAAGCATCCATGCACCAACACCTAAATTTAACAATTGTTATTATTTGTCCCTATTAATTATTCTTCTTTCTTTTATGTGGAACATTTAAAAATAGGTACAGCTCTGATGTTTTTCACATGATAGTTTAGTAAGCACCACTTAAGAACAATGGCATAATACTATTTTCAAATATAAGAAAACAAAGAATAATTCATTAACATAATCTAACAGTCCATCAAATTTCTCCAGATTTTCCCTGTAACATCTTTTTCTGAGCTAGATTTTTATCAAGTTCACTATTGCATTTATTTTAGGTCTTTTAGATCTTGTGCCAATACAAATCTAGCTTATTAAATACAGTTTTAGAAGTTTCTAAAAGAAAAATGGTCTCTGATGTTCATTAAAATGGCTTTGTGAAGAAATCAGGCTAGTTATCTTGTAGGATGACCCAATTCTGGGAGTGCCTGAGTGTTTCCTTGTGGCACCATTTACCCTGTTGTTGCATCCCAGGTTACAGTCTTCAGTCTTCAGCTGGATCCTTTCAGAAGTGTCCTCTTCAGATTTCCGGCTGTTATGGCCTTCCCTGACCTTAAAGGCATTCTATGTAGTTAGCTATGCTAAAGTTATCTTGCTAAAGCATTACTTTATCATGTTATTTCTCTGCTTAAAACCTTTAATGGATCTTTACTACCCACACAGTGATAGCAGACTTGCTATATTGCATTCAAAGCCTTCTTTCTTTTTCTCTGATGCACTCCACCACTTAGTCAAATCATGATCTATGGAGGTAGGGGACAGGAAATAATTTTATAAAACTCATGTCCCTTGTACATTGTCTCTCATTGCAGCCAGCCAAATACTTCTTACTTATTTGGACTTAACAGCTTAATCTTGGTGCCTTACCTAGTCCCACAAGGTACATTCTTCACCTCATCTGTCTGGAGTGTGGTCTGGAAGTAGAGAAGACATAAAACACTATAAGCCAGGAAGGAACAAGAATTTAGCTTTCAGAATTCCCAAATGGCCTTCTACTTGTATACTTATTTGGGTTGGGCTTTGCTTTTGTTCATATCAACACTCCCTATGGTCTCCTTCACCAACTATGAGACTAAACCAATGAGAGGTAGCCTGACTTTAATGTAAGCAAACCATTAAGCAAATAAGCTCAGTAATAACGGTTAAGAAAAAAAGACTCTGAACTAGAAATCCTAAGACCTGTGTTTACCTCACTTATTTACCAGTCATGAAACAGCAGCTCTTGTTATTTAGCCAGCCTCGGCACGTAATACTTGCTAATCCATTTGCAGGGTTATTTAAGACTCAGATCAGATAATGTACACGAAAGCACTTTGAGAAGTGCTGTTGGGTGCTGTAGAATCGATGCCAACTCACAGTAACCCCACATGACAGAGAAGAACTCTGCACAGGCTTTTCTTGGCTATAATCTTTATGGAAGCAGATCACAAGTCTTTCTCGCAGTGGTCACTGGATGAGTTCGGACTGCCAAACTCAAGGTCAGCAGTTAAGCTCTTAACCTTTGAGACAGCAGGGCTCCTATGTGAAAACTGCAAAGCACAATAAATAGCAGAGGAAACCTACAGAGAAAGTGCTGATGAGCTATCCTAGGGTTATTTTCCTGGGTCAATTTAAAAGCCATTCTCTAAATCAGATTCCTTTTGGTTGAACACTCGGGAACGATTTTTAAAAATGGCCAGTCTAACTTAGCCAGGCTTCAGATTTGTCATAACTAACTCTGCTCCTATTTTAGATGGCACTTTCCCTCACCAAATTCAACTCCCCACATCTTACAAAAATAATATTTATACCTTTGAACCGAAAAATAAAACCCAGCACAACTACCATGCTACATTTTCACTTTTTTATGACAGCCTGAGATTAAAAATACCCTTCTTGCACTGAGAGTTTTCCTCCCACAATTCAGAAAATGTTCCTCCTTGCCTTTCTTGACACAAAGCATTAATTCCTACCTGGGGTGGACAGCTCAAGGCAATGTCCCTATTTGAGCTACTTCAACAATTAAGTAGAGCACCAGAGTAAATTTATTAATTATGAAAATAATAATACTTTTAAAAGCCCTTATCTTTAAAAAGAATTACCTGAAAAAGGTATTGCATTCACTCAATAGCTTAATAATTTTCTATCAATCATGAGCGAGGACTTCAAATCCATAGTCATCCAAGCACACTATATAAGCCAAGTATACCTGCACAGACTTATATGATGTGATGAAAGGGAGCATAAGATGGAAACCAGGGCCACTGGTAGACGTCAGCAGCGCACCGCCTCTGCAGAAGAGGAAGAGGGTGAAGGGTTTAGTTAGCAAGCGGGTTCTTGTAGATACTTAAGCAATCAATAGCATTTGGACTATCTCTGCAGTCCATAAACACTTAATATATAGTGATGCGCCAGAGCCATATGCACAAATCTCTTTCTTTCTCTCAGCACTACCCTAATACTCTATGAAGCCTGATGGTAAAAGATAAAATCATGATTTATGTCTTTGTAAGGAGAAAACAGGCCCATAGGCTAAGTTCAATAAAGATGGAAGAATCTGGCTATACTGTGCTAAGAGAGGAAGTCCAATTTACTTTGTCATACTCACTGAGCTTCTGGCAACTCATTAGAACAGTTAAATCCAGTAATGTAATTGTTAATTAACTGTACTAATGCTGGAAGCCAGTGGCATGAAAAACTAAAGAATTACTTTAAGGATTTGGTGTTTGTTTTTTCTTTTCTGAGAGGGCAGCAAAGTAACTTTTCTAATCAAATTGTATGTAAATGATTAAAAAATTAAAAACTTTTTGCTTTTTTTAGCATATGGACGGGAAAAACAAGTAGACTTTTAGGACATGCTGTTGGCAATCAAGAAATAAGCATTACAAGGTATAAGCAATATTATCTCAGGTTCAGTAAGTAGCTGTTGTCACGCTGTGTCAGGGAACATTTTACTGGGTTTGATTGTATTTCTTAATAAATTTGCTTTAAAAATAAAGGAAAAAACCCCCCACTCCTTCATAAAAACTTAAAAAAGCAAAACCAACCTGGTTATGAAGCTTACCAAGAGAAAAACCATCCCTGATTTACGACTTCCTTTGCTTTTACTCTATGAAGCCATATACATTTTACTTGTTCTATCCTTTTAAGAGTCATAAGACAAAAAAGAAAATAAGGGACTCCTTTCTTATAAGGACAATCATCCTGGGACTTATCTGGATTGGTATTAAGCAACCGGCAGGTTCCTTCATTTTTCCAGAAATGTTAAAGAGTAGTCCCAAACGCAGAATAGAATATCCTTTCAGGTTTCCATAAAGAATTGGGGCTCAATTGGCCTTCGTGGAAGTAATTTCACATGGAGTAAAGAATTCCAGAGGGATACAAGAGAAAACTATATAAGGGATGGTCTGCAAGGTGTAAGAGATGGTCTGCAATATATAAGGGATAGTCTGCAAGATGCATTGGTCTCCTTTAGGAATTACTGTCCACACTGCGTCATCTTAGAATATGAAAGAGTCACACACACACACACACACACACACACACTCATAACCATGACACAAAAGCTCAATTCAAAATACTCCCTTCTTCAATGAAATATTTAAAAGTTGCCGAATCTGCCTGCCAGTGACTAGAAAAAAGAAACCATTTGACAGGAAGTACAAACTTCTACCTGCCTCTCCTTACCTGTAATACACCCCAATATGCCCCTCTTCTATCTTGTGCACAGCAGAGAAGAGAGATGCACACAAGAAACTGGCAGCCACGGCCACAACTGCTCCCAGTTGAGCCATCTCGGCACTTCAATCCTAGGGAAAAGATGGAAAAATGTGTATGGCCCAACAAGCAGGAAAAAGAAAAAAAATGACTGCAAGAGTAACTCATAAAGCAGAGTTCCCTGTAGGTGGCTCGCACCCAGTCTATTGTATGAACTCAAGGCTAGATCTACAACTCTCTTCATCCTATTCTCAGTCCACACGCACATTCCTTAACCACACAATTATATTCCACAACTCTTTGAAGAGGCTCCAGATTCTGCCTAGCAAGGAAGAACCAATGCCAAATGGGAAGTGTTCAACCCTGCCTTCTCTTCCTGTGAACACCAATGTGCTGTAAACGGAGCCACCCATGCTAGAAAAGGGGAAGAGGCAGCTGCTGCATGCAGGACGAAATTAGAGGATGTCAAGTGACAGGCAGTTGTAGCTATGTAATTCTGGTTAGCGTCCTTCAACCCTAATTGCCTTCCATTTGAAAGACAACCATTATTTAATCCTTTCAGATGTTGGCGTGAGACAGCATGTGAGCAGGTAGGCTTCTCTGGCCTTTCCACTTTTCCAGTCATTCCTTTGGCCTTAATGGGCGGAAACCACACTCCTTCCTCTACATACCTGGCAGGCACTTTGCATCTGATTAAACCCCTACACTTGTTACACTACCTACACTCGTTAGTGGAGAAAAGAGACCGTCAGCTGCTGGGTGCATTTATATTTAAGCACGAAGAAGGGAAAGAGATGGCATCTAGTGGCTCGTTTCCTGAACATTGAATGACCTGTAACATAATTCGAGAGCAATACGATCGGCAAGGGGCTTATTTTACCGTGATAGTCCCAGCTGCACATTTGCAGCTACGTCCTTTCTGCAAATGCCTTTCCTCCCCGAGGCCACTTGCCCCACACACCTCACGCCCCTAGAATTCTGGGTCGGGTCGAGGCGCCACGTGCCTCTGTTCTGTCCCTCCAAGAGGCAGGCGGGGAGGTGACAGGACGGAAACAGATTGTGGGTTATTTTTTTCCCTTGCTTCAGCAGTGAGCTTGCTAAAGGAGAGGATGCTGGGGCCACGGCCCCGAGGAATCGCGGAGGAGCTCAGAGTAGGAGACACCACTAGGCTCAGTTCGCACTTAGACGGGGCGGGGGCGGCGTACCCGGTTGTCCCTCCAGGCGCTCCGTACTCGTCCGAAAGCCCCGTGCAACCGCAGAAAACCGCCACACCCCTCAGCCTGATACTTCCTTCCGGGTTTGTCGCGTTGATGACGCCATCAGTTCACGCGACAAGAACACGCCACGTTACCTCTAGTTTGATTCCCCCGCTCCGCCCCTCAGACTCCAGATAGTCAGTGTCTGCCAGTGGCCACCAGGGAGCGCCCGCGACACGGCCCAGGCCGTTCCAGGGGTGGATCTAGGATGGGGTGGGTCTAGGAGGGGGTGGCCGGCGGGGAGGAGGGTGAGGAGCTCTTCGTTAGTGAGCCTGTGGGAGGACAGGGGACACCACAGGTGCTGATCGGGCCGGCGCTAGGGTTGAGACCAAGGGTGACTCTTCCTCAGATGACAAGCACACTTTAGTGGATTGGGACCTATTCGCCGTACCCCCCAAGTTCCTAGGCAATTTCAACAGCTCTAGCACTTTGCTCTTGCCTCTTTTCCCGTTATTTAAAAACCAACAACACAACAAAACCCAAACCCAAAACATTTTCCCCTCTTTTTTACAAGTTGTATTGACTTTCATGTAATCCTCATGTTGTGTGTCGTACAAGTCGGAACCGACCCATTACTGACACTGTCAGGTTTTCAGAGGCGGTTTATCACACGGGAGGAGATTGCCCATACACATTTTGGTTTATAACATTAATTAAAATTGACATAAATTAATGACAATGTCCCATCGTCCCTTATTGCCTTTCCCTTTATCCATCTCACTGAAAGTCTTTTATTATTATTTATTTAATTAATTTATTTTTTTATTATCTTATTTTTATCTTCTGTTTTGTGAATGTCGCTCCCCCTTTCCTTTTCCCCCCATCCCTAGCAACTAAGCAAGAATGAATTTGTGTATAAACCTTTCTTTAGCTTTTTTAACAATCATCTTATACAGGGTTTGTCCTTTTGTGACTGATTTATGTAATTCATCATAATATCCTCTATATTAATCATGCTGTGTGCAGTGTATTACAGATTCTTTATCGTTCCTTAATGTTGCACAGTTCTCCATTGTACCATATTTTAACTATTAATTTGACTGTTTATGGAAATTGGAGGTTTCTCATGTCTTTGCTATTGTAAATGATGCTGCAGTAACCACAGGTATGCATATATATGGTTGTGTCAAAGCTGTTTTTCTTTAGTGTGTATATCTAGTAGTGGGCTTTCTGAATCAAATGGTATTTCTGTTTTGAACATTTTAAGGATACATCAGACTGTTTTCCACAATGGTTGCATCATTTTACATTACCACTAGAAGTGTAGCAATGTTTCAATCTCTCCACACTCTCTCCAGCATTTGTTTGCTGTTTTATTGAATTTTTCCTGTTGTTGCTGGGGTGAGAGGATAATCTCATCACTGTTTTGATTTGCATTTCTCTAAAAGCTAATGATCTTGAGCATTTCTTCATGTGATTGTTGGCCATCTGAATGTCTTCTCTGATGAAGTGTCTTTTCATGTCTTCTGCCCATTTTTGTAATTTATTTTCTTATTGAGATGTTGGAATTTTCTAAAATTTTAAAATATTAGTCTCTTGTTAGATATGTTGATATTTCCCCCCATCTATGGGTTCACTTTTTACTCTTTTGGAGAAGTCTTTTATACATACAAGGATTTGATCTTTGGAAAGCTCCACTCATCTAGTTACTCCTCTGCTGATCGTGCATTTTCAATTATATTTGTTAGTCTATTTATGCCATATGCTATTTATTTGCCTCTAATTTTTCCTTGATTTGGAAGCAGAAGTAGCACCCACCCTAAATAACCTGCCTCCAGAAATTCTGTGACCTTTGATAAATGTTGATAGTTGTTGAGGGACTTCAAGCCTTTTGTTCATAGGGTTGCTATCACTTGTGCTTGACTTGAAGGCAATCAACAACAACAACAGCAATCTTTATAGATTTAGGCTTTACATTTAGTCTCTGATTAACAAAACCAGTCTCTGATTAATCTTTAGTTTGGTTTTGTATATGGCATGAGGTAGGTATCTTGTAAGAACTGCTGTATAAAAATTAGCACCATTACATCTCCATTTAACCATTTTTACACTGAATTGCACTTTATACTTTTATAGGGGCTTTGGTCTTTTGTGGTTTCTTTGTTCTGGTGCCTTAATGGATTTGTTGTATTGCTCATTGAAAGATTGGCAGTGCAAATCCAACATCTATTCTGTTAGAGAAAGGTGGGGCAGTCTCTTCCTATTTGCATTCCCAGAAACCATAAATTGGTATCTACTCCATAGTAGTAATGGGTTTGGATTTGTTTTGTTCCTCCTTACAACCATAGAATAGATTATTATTGTTGTTATGTGCTATTGAGTTGGAATTGACTCAGCTGACCCTCCAGTGAATTTTCAGAGACTGTAAATCACACAGGAGTCGATAGCTCATCTTTCTCTCTTGGAGCTCTGGTGGATTCGAACTGTCTACTTTTTGAGTTGGCATCACAACTCTTTACCCCATAGGCCACCAGATCTCTATACATAAAATAGATTAAGAAGGAATTGTTATCCTCATTTTAACAAAGGGAATATAAGATATTTCAGTGATGTGTAGGGGTGGGCAGTGGTAATCAGCAAAAGTGATTGCCTTCTTGACATCTGAGCGTAACTCCTTGTGTAATTCATTGTCTCCCTGGATAGATTGTAAACTCCTTGAGGGCAGAAATGGTCTTTTCTTTGGCATCCTCTCTGCTTATGTGCTCAAAAAAATTCTGAGTAGAGTCATCATAGAACAAGACCATAATATAGATTTCTGTATCTGCCAGTTTAAAAAATTTTTTATTTCTTATTTTATACTTGTTTATTTACACAATTTGAATACATTGTTTTTGAAATCAGATTCTTTCCATTTCCCTCACCCCTACATGCATCAAATTGTACAACCCCATGATTAATCCCCCTCTCTCCCTGCACATCCTCATCCTTCTGCTTCCACCCTCTGACACCCCTCATGGATCCTTATACTCATTCTACAATAACGGCTGTATACAATACTTGTCCTTATGGGGCTGAGTTCACTCAGCATAAGGCTCTCCAGTCCCTCCCAAGTTAGGTATCTGCCAGTTTAAAGGCTTTATCATTCTTTTTTCATTGTTAAGTAGCATGAGTCAGAAGCATTTTTAATTCAGTTAATAAAGGACCAGTCCTCGGAGAAGGACCTCATGCTTGGAGGGGTGGAGGGACGGCATATGAGAGGAAGGCCCTGGATGATGTGGATTGACACAGTAACTGGGGTAATGGGAGTCGGTGTGTTGGAGACTCAGATTGGCCCAGGATTGGGCAGGGTTCAGAGCTATTGTCGAGAGCTATGATATGGAGCTATGAGTGGCAGTCGACTTGATAGCACATAACCCCACAATAACAGCAACAAAGTTATTTTATTTGCAGAGAAGAATGAACATCCCTATAACCTCAGTAAATTAAAAGCGAGTTACAGGGAGGATAACAAGCTTGTGTTGTTTGTCAGGTTTCAAAGTCAGTTCTGGAGTTAGTTCTGCTCATGGTGACACAAGATATGCCAGACTGAAACTGTCACATAGGGTTTCTTCCCCCTTCCCTCCATAGGGCTTTTAATGGTTTTTGGAAGAAGATTGCCAGACTTTTCTCTCAAGGCATCTCCGAGTGACCTCCAACCTTGTGGTGGTGGTTGTTGGATGCTGTGGAGTTGGAACAGACTTACAGCTGACAATTCAGCAGGTTTTCAGAGGCTGTAAATCACATCGGAGGTGATTGCCTGTCTTTCTACCATGGAGCAACTGGTGAATTTGAACTGCATGCCTCTGGGATGGCAGCTCTGTTCTTTACTGGTAGGCCACCAGAGCTCCCTAACCTTTTAGTTGTTGTTGTTGTTAGGTGCTGTTGAGTTATGTACAACTCATAGCGACCCTATATACAACATATCTGAGTCCTGGCCTATCCTGTGTCATGTTCACTATCCCTGATATGTTTGAGCCCCTTGCTGTAGTCACTGTGTGACTTGATGAGATTTTCCTCTCTTTCGCTGACCTCCCACCCTTCTAAATGTGATATTCTTTTCCAAGGAATAGCCTTTCCTAGCAAAATGTCTGAAGTATGAGAGATGGAGTTGTGTCATCCTTTCTTCCAAAGAGCACTCCAGCTGCACCTTTTCCAATACATATTTGTTCGTTCTTTTGGCAGTCCATGGAATATTCAGTCCTCTTCTCCAACACCATAACTCAAAGACATCAAGTCGTCTTCTGCCATCCCTATTCATTGCCTAGCTCGCAGATGCATAGCAAGTAATTAGTGGCCAAGAAATCACATGGAAACAAATTGCCACACCTTTCTTATGTTTGTGACCAACATAGTGACCACTTACATCACCCAGTTTTCCCTAGGCAGATAGATAAGTTATTGTTTCAGATGCTGTCTAGTATTACTCATAATGATCCTATCTGAACCCTGTCCTATCCTGTGCTATTCTTATCATCTCTGACATACTTGAGCCCATTGCAGCAGCTATTATGTTAATCCATCTCTTTGAGGATTGTCCTGTCTTTCGTTGATCCCCTATCTTTCCAGGCATGATATCTTTTCCCAAGGAACAGCCCCTCCTAACAACACGCCCAAAGAGTGTGAGATGGAGCTTCATCATCCTTGCCTCTAAGCGGCACTCTAGTTGCACTTTCTCTAAGACAAATCTGTTTGTTATTTTAGCAGCTCATGGGACATTCATTACTATTCTCCAATGTCACAACTCAAAGGCATCAGCTCTTCTGCCATCCTTATTCATTGTCCAGCTCTCAGATGCATAGCAGATGATGGAAAAGACCACGGATAGAATCAGGAGCACCTTGGTCTTTTGAGTACAAAAAAAAACAATGTGTAGATTCACCAAGCAGTCTCTTTCCCTGGGATTTCCCTGGGTGAACTTGTATTGGAGTGCTTAAGCATTTTAAATGTGTCTAAACCCACAGGTAGACTGGTTGGTTCTGGCTGTTATCTATGTGTCCACCCCCTTTGAAGAGGGCCATCTTTCCTACTCTATCCTTTCTGCACCCTACCTGTTCCCCCAAAACATATAGCTCGTAGA